GATATTATGGCGACTAGTTAGTACTTTCGTAGAGATATTGCAGTATGGTGACTAGTTAGGATTTTCGTAGAGATATTGCAGTTAACTGACTAGTTAGGACTTTCGTAGAGATATTGCAGTATGGTGACTTGTTAGTTAGAGATATTGCAGTATGTTGACTTTAGACTTTTGTAGAGATATTGCAGTATGGCGACTAGTTAGTACTTTCGTAGAGATATTGCAGTATGGCGACAAGTTAGGACTTTCGTAGAGATATTGCAGTACGGTGACTACTTAGGACTTTCATAGAGATATTGCAGTATGGCGACTAGTTAGGACTTTCGTAGAGATATTGCAGTATGGTGACTAATTAGGACTTTCATATAGATATTGCAGTATGGTGACTAGTTAGGACTTTCATAGAGATATTGCAGTATGGCTGACTAGTTAGGACTTTCGTAGAGATATTGCAGTATGGTGACTAGTTAGGATTTTCATATAGATATTGCACTTCATAGAGATATGGTGACTAGTTAGGACTTTAGTAGAGATATTGCAGCATGGCGACTAGTTAGTACTTTCACAGAGATATTGCAGTATGGCGACTAGTTAGTACTTTCCTAGAGATATTGCAGTATGGTGACTAGTTAGGACTTTTCAGAGATATTGCAGTATGGCGACTAGTTAGGACTTTGAGATTTCGTATTTTAGAGATATTGCAGGTGACTAGTTAGGACTTTCGTAGAGATATTGCAGTATGGTGACTAGTTAGGACTTTCAGAGATAGATATTGCAGTATGGTGACTAGTTAGGACTTTCGTTAGAGATATTGCAGTATGGTGACTAGTTAGGACTTTCATAGAGATATTGCAGTATGGTGACTAGTTAGGACTTTCATAGAGATATTGCAGTATGGCGACTAGTTAGGACTTTCGTAGAGATATTGCAGTATGGTGACTAGTTAGGACTTTTGTAGAGATATTGCAGTATGGTTGACTTATAGAGTTAGTGACTTTCTTTCGTAGAGATATTGCAGTATGGTGACTAGTTAGTACTTTCAGAGATATTGCAGTATGGTGACTATTAGTACTTTACAGAGATATTGCATATGGTGACTAGTTAGGATATTGCAGTAGAGAGTTAGTATTGCATAGAGATGGTGACTAGTTAGGACTTTCATAGAGATATTGCAGTATGATGACTAGTTAGGACTTACAGAGATATTGCAGTATGGTGACTAGTTAGGACTTTCATAGAGATATTGCAGTATGGTGACTAGTTAGGACTTTCATAGAGATATTGCAGTATGGGTGACTAGTTAGACTTTCGTAGAGATATTGCAGTATGGTGACTAGTTAGTACTTACAGAGATATTGCAGTATGGTGACTAGTTAGAACTTTCGTAGAGATATTGCAGTGGCGCATGGTGACTAGTTAGGACTTTCATAGAGATATTGCAGTATGGCGACTAGTTAGGACTTTCATAGAGATATTGCAGTATGGCGACTAGTTAGGACTTTCATAGAGATATTGCAGTATGGCGACTAGTTAGGACTTTCGTAGAGATATTGCAGTATGCTGACTAGTTAGGACTTTCGTAGAGTTATTGCAGTATGGTGACTAGTTAGGATTTTTGTAGAGATATTGCAGTATGCTGACTAGTTAGGACTTTCGTAGAGATATTGCAGTATGGTGACTAGTTAGGATTTTCGTAGAGATATTGCAGTATGGTGACTAGTTAGGACTTTTGTAGAGATATTGCAGTATGGCCACTAGTTAGTACTTTCGTAGAGATATTGCAGTATGGTGACTAGTTAGTACTTTCATAGAGATATTGCTGTATGCTGACTAGTTAGGACTTTCGTAGAGATATTGCAGTATGGTGACTAGTTAGGATTTTCGTAGAGATATTGCAGTATGGTGACTAGTTAGGACTTTTGTAGAGATATTGCAGTATGGCGACTAGTTAGTACTTTCGTAGAGATATTGCAGTATGGCGACTAGTTAGGACTTTCGTAGAGATATTGCAGTACGGTGACTACTTAGGACTTTCATAGAGATATTGCAGTATGGCGACTAGTTAGGACTTTCGTAGAGATATTGCAGTATGGTGACTAGTTAAGACCTCTCGTAGAGATATTGAAGTATGGTGACTAGTTAGGACTTTCATAGAGATATTGTAGTATGGCGACTAGTTAGGACTTTCGTAGAGATATTGCAGTATGGTGACTAGTTAGGACTTTCGTAGTGATATTGCATTATTAGGATGGATGTAGTGAAAAAGTAAGTAAGAATGCTTAGTTTTAGTGTAAGGAATATTATGCTATGTTTGGGTCATATAAATGTTGAATTTAGGAGTATTTGATTTACTCAAGTATTTCCATTCTACGCATCAGTATTTAATAAACCTCTTCTTCTTTTTCCTCTATCTTGACTTCGATAATCTCTGTAACTATGGCCTTCTCAATTCTCGGCTATTTTGTACAAAGACAACATTTCAACAATCTTACATTCTAAAAATATTTTATGGTTTTAAATAACCTGTAAAAGGTTGATAAACCGTAAAAACAATCATCTATTCACATGTATGATATCATAAGTTACGGTACCATAACACTAATATTTAAAAACTGAACATGATCATTTATAATCCCAGATTTTGTTCTCAATCATAATGGTGCTAATAATTTATCATCCCGAGCCATTTGATCAAACATCAGAATATTTTGCGGGGAACGATTAAAAAATGAGGAACACCGTGTGAAAATCCGGTTGATATATGTGACGAATATTATGTGATATTCTGCATTTCTGTTCTTCTTGCCTTCTTAAATGAATATCTTAACGAATAGCCGAAAGCGCTTGATCAGAAATCTATGGACAGTTCTTGCAAACACTGTCTATTGAATTATGTCCATTCAAAAGAACTACCAAGTAAAATAAATTTTAGAAAATTCATGTTTCTGTCCTTTAATCAAGCATAAACTGCTGTATAACTACAAACTGTGTGCGTTATGAAATATATATATATATATATATATATATATATATATATATATATATATATATATATATATATCACGCATTGAGTGATAGTGTTAATAAAATAGTGCTCGATGTAATATAACGCAGCTATAAATTATAAATTAGCCCTCACCAGTAGCACGACTCGGAGTTTAATACACAACGCTATCTTCAGATGCTGGATTTTGCCTAACATTTACATAATTTAATTTTTTTTAAATATATTTGTTATTGCAAATGTGGAGCCGTCCATATTTTGTACGAGGGTTGTTGTCTAAAAAATTGGTATTTTATATTTAAAATACACACACACACACACACACACACACATATATATATATATATATATATGTTAATTTAGTTTCTTTTTTCCAGGTTTTCAGATAAGACGTGTAGCCATGTGTCGTAAGAATCAGTGAAAAAAGCTTTGAGTTATTCAGCTAGAAAGAGAATAGGTTAAAATCGTTTTATGTCAGCCCCACTGTCTTCTCAACTGATCAATGATGAGAGGAAAAAATCATTCAGGACTTCAGTAATGGTATCAACATTCATGCCCTGGCTTCCATCTTCAAAGTCCATTCAAGAAACATGAGGACAGGTCAAGATGTCCGTGTTATTTTCATTTTTGAATAACCTGTTTATCCATCGCACCCCCCCTCTCTCTCTCTCCACACACACACACACACACACACACACACACACATATATATATATATAAATATATGTATATATAATCTTGCCTTCCATCAGCATGGGGAAAATTGTCTAACAAGGCACAGTGAATTAACGTTCCTAGTAGCAGACCTAGCAGTTGATTCAATATAATCATTAAACTTCTTGTCAGTGGAAAATGTAAGGCCATGAAGACTCAATGACTTTCTCTTTTGGAGGTTAGGATCAGCCACAGTGATGGAAGATTTAAATGTTCTGTAATACGATTAAAAGAGCGAAATTTAGTTTTGGCATGCATTAAAATTAACAAACCATATATTACGTGTAGTTTACTCCCATGTGCATATTTAGTTTACTCATGTTATGTTTCCCGTTAGCAACACATTGCTGGTCACTTTTGAGATCAGCTTCCAATTTGGCGAAACCATCAGATTTACCGTTGAGACTGAAGAAAATAGTAGACCCATCAGTACAGATGACATCGTGAAGGTCGTCGAGGAAAATTATAAACAAATTAATTCCAAGGATAGATCCCTGGTGGATATTGTAAAGAGATCTAGATGAGAGGCCATTCAAGACAACTTTTTTTTCATTTGATAAGAAAGATTGAATCAAATAAAAATTTCGGCCAGAAATACCATAACCCTTTGACATTTAAAGAAGACTAACCCACCATTCCCTGTTAAGTGTCTCCAATAAGACAAGCTGGGGACTGTAATCTACAAAAAGGCGTCTGGAATTTATCAAAAGAAATATTTCTTAAAGATGACGCTCGACGACGTGTTTTTGTTCTTTTGGTCATTATGAAAATTCCTTTTTGATTTCCTACTCTGGACATAGCTACAAAATCTGACCATGAGAGAAGCGTTTAAATAATTATTTTTCTGCAACATTCATAATAATTTATAAATCAAATTTAATATTTTTTTTACATCTTAAAAAATATCTAAAGTAAGTAAAGCGTAAATACCATTGTTGTTTTGTTCCGTTGACGAAAGATGGGGACGCACAGACAAAATTTAACCTTATACGAAATTTAAAAGTTAAATTTATAATATTTTACAAATATCTTTTATTTTTGCTTAATAAACCAAACGAACATTTGGGAGTTCAATAAACGTTGGGAGACTTCAGTCTACTGACCTTGTGCCAGTATTAGTTTAGGGCAAATGTTGACAACAATCTCACAAAGCACTAGTTGCGACCTACTTTAACTAGGCTTGTCTGCAATAGTCTTGAGACGCCTCCCAGAGAGCAATTATTTATAATCTTTTCTTTGCATTGGATGTCGATGCTAGAGTATGGTGGCTTCCTTTCATACGAAGTTAAATCAAGGAAATATGCACAAACGTAGATATATATGAAGAAAAAAAACGAAATAGGGAGAGAGAAACGGAAGCAGAAAGAGAGGAAAAAGAAAGTAAGATAGAAAATGAGGGTAGGAGATTAAGAAAGAGAGGGAGATAGAGGGAAAGAGAATACAAGAGAGAAGGAGAGAGGGAAAAAGAGGATGAGAAAGAGATAGCAAGAAGAAAAAAAAACAAAACAGTAAATATAGCAATAAAGAGAGTAGCAACGAGAGAGAGAGAAAGAGAGAGAGAGAGAGAAGGATAAAGAAATAGAAAGAAAAAATCTAATGACAGAAAAGGATATGGAAGAGGAGAAAGCGCAGGAGAGAGAAAGAGAGGGGACGGAATAGAGAAAATGTAAGAAAGCTAGAGACGTAAAGAAAGAGAATGGGGAGAAATATGAGAGAAAAGTGAATATGACGGAGAAGGAGAAAGAAAGAAAGAAAGAAAGAAAGAAAGAAAGAAAGAAAGAAAGAAAATGATGGTGAAAGAGGCGAGAAAAAGAGAAGGTAAAGACAGAAAGGAAGATACTGAAATAGTGGGGCGAAAGAGAAAGAAGAAAAAAGAGAATTAGAGAAAAGGAGATTAAGAGAGAATGAAAGACATTCCGAGAGAACGAGAGTGAATGTGTGTGAGTGAGTGAGTGAGTGAGAGTGAGTGAGTGAGTGAGTGAGTGAGTGAGTGAGTGAGAAACTAGAATAAATTCATCCAGGGTATATGGTAGCTAATAGAGACCAATTTCAGAATAGTTCGGAGCTATGGTGTATGGCTGGACGCCAACGATGCCCCGATAAAATTCGACAGAAGACTTCCAGCAAATCTTTCGTCGATAAACTGCTTCTTTTCATCTCCATATGATGTGCTTACCCGGCTTGAGGTGGGCTTGAGATACGTGGTTGGAACACTTATGGAGAGAGGTGCATGCAATCTTTGCTGTTGGGATGAAGCTCCATATTCCTTGGGTGACGTATGTTGCAAGAACTCACCGTTGTTCATGAAAAATATAATTCTGAGGTGAATCCGTTTTATATTTCACGGACTATTCAGCGAGTATCTCAATAATTCTTGTTTTTATCTCAACGATTTTGTGAAAGCGTTTGATCAAGAAGAACCATTGTAGCGAAAAACAATTCTGGAAACCTAACCGCTTGATATATAAATCCTCTCTGCGTTAAATTCGATGGCAAAATCAATCAGTTTCTTTTTTAATCTCTGATGTTGCCATAGAGATTTTTCATTCCTTCACTTGAACAATATTAAAAGCTTGTTTTGACGGGATGATGCCATAAATACGCAGTTATACCTGTTTCTATTTATTCAAAGCGTAGTTAAATTCTGTCTCCGAAATGGAGTGAGTACACCTTCCAGAAAGCAAGCGATGTATTAACCCCTTCCCCGGCGTTGACGTGTTTATACATTTTACTGAAAGCGTCTTCTTCGGACACGGGCGAATAAACAGCTACAAACGTGTTTATATGTCGATTTGATTCTTTTTATGCCTTTCTGAACATGAGACGTGTCCAATTGTCGAATCCTGCGTCTGGTCGAGGTGTTAGCCACCGCTCAGGTACTTCAAGGTGCCTCAGTTTCTTAGTTACAATATCGAAAACAAATAAAAAAAATGTCTGAAAATGAAACGCTTATCCCAAAATAATTGGCGATGAAGAGCTTAAGAAATGGGATGTCCTAGCAAACAAATAAAACAGTGCTGATCGGCTATGTAATATCTAATCACCTATATAATATTGAATGATACAGAATCACCTCACAGGCGAAAAAGTGTCCCGAAGCGACAGAAATGTGGTATGAATTATGTTCTGTGGTCATCAAAACCAGTCAAGTACAAATATTTATTTGACTGTGTATCGTAAGAGACCCCGGAATGTTTTAATTACTGAACAAGTTCTTTTGATATTGCAAACAAGATTAATGATTAAAATTAAGAAATATTAGTGCTTATAGATTTACATAAAAAGCTTAAAGGTTTAAATTAAATGTTAAAAGAAATTAAATGCATGGATATAAAAAAAAAAAAGTAAAAATTTCAAAAAGTTATCGGAAGGGGGCACATTTTTGGGACATAATATATATATATATATATATATATATATATATATATATATATATATATATATATATATAGTGTTGGGGCAGCGGGTCATTGTTCAAAACATATATTGTTAAATATAACTATTATGTTTGCTCATGAGCTGTTCTAAGCTTCATATAGTGGCTTCAATTTCGGGAGAAAATAAAGGAAAAAACTGTCCAACAGCATAATAAAACATATGCAAATGTTGGACAGTTTTTGTCTTTATTTACCCCCTAATTTAAAGCAACTATGCGAGGCTTAAAACATAATAGACATTAGCTGTCTTTTATATTTAACAATATACAGTAGCGTCCAAAACTAAGGGACAAAATTTTAAAACCTAATATTTGTTAGAAATAAAAACTGTGAAAAGCTTTTGGACGTTCCAAATTTGAAAATAAATAGATAATTGTTATAATTCTTTTTCTATCCTTTGCAAATGATTCAAATCTTAGTATGTTATTATGGATGATAACGACTACCAGTTGTCAAAATTTCAGCTTTTCACAGTTGTTATTTCTAACAAATATTAGGTTTTAAAATTTTGTCCCTTAGTTTTGGACGCTACTGTATATATATTATTCCGAGAACTTTCGACATAAGCATGATGTCATCAACAGGGTGTTGTTTTTTTTTTTTAAATGAATATGTATCAACATGGTAATTTTCTCTATTACTTCTCTTAATAAAGAAAGAAATATGTAGCAATTTCTTTTTATGCGGCCTCATTCCCAATAAGCATTATACATAACGTCAGTTTAGACCATTTCAAACTGCCAGCTGCCCAAAGAATATCAGGATGCAGACAAAGGAATTCTATCACACAGACACCACATCTGTTCTTCATAATGACTGCGAAAGTCGAAAGGACTTGAAGAAAAATAACAAAATATGAACTTCAGACAGTTTATCCAAAAATTTAAGCACAATACTAAACACCTTAACGAGGAGTTGGAAAAATAGAAAATAAAAATTAACAGGCAAAAGTTTCTTTTTAAAAAAAGTTGTTTGGGTGAATACTTGCTGCCTAAATATACCTTATTCACCCCCATATATATATATATATATATATATATATATATATATATATATATATATATATATATATATATATATATATATATATATATATATATATATTTTATCATATAGACAAAAACCATTTTACTCGCCATTTTCGTTTCTCACCCGTCGAAGTGCAGTTGAAATGCACTGAAACCAAGTTGCATCTTTGTAGTCAGTAAAATGGTTTTGTCTATATGATAAAATTATAATAAAGGAATAATTATCGTTCTACTATCGTATCGAGCCCTCTTATGGATTAATGCTGTGAACGTTGGAATTAAATATTACTTTCGTTCTCATTGATCGTATATATATATATATATATATATATATACTAGTTTGTTCTACTAGCCAATATACCCAAGGTTTTTCCAAGCGAGTACCACCATATTTATATATATATATATATATATATATATATATATATATATATATATATATATATATATATTTGTATTTTTCATTGTTATAATTAATATTATTATTAGTATCCAGTCATTGCGATAGCTGCATCTAATATACTTATTATGTAACTGATCACTTTTTGGGTGACTGACGAATCTTTAAAGTTAGAAGTGTATTTTGAGATTTAAATGAACCCACCATGCAGTAAAATTATTTCAACAAAGCGAGAACGAGAAAAGATATTAAAATCATAGAAAAAGAAAAAAATGATTTTATACTAAGAACAACTTTTGGGCTATGACAATAGAAAAAAAAATCACACAAGATCAGTAATAGACTAGTTCTGAAACTAAAGACATACAAAACTGTGCGTTAAACGAACTTAAAAATTTCTTTCCATCCTTAAATCTGTATCAGATAATATTAGATCGAGGACATCATTGAATCTATATTATATAACATTAGATGTCGGACATCACTGCATCAATATTACAGATGATTAGATCTAGTCATCATTGAATCTATATTAGATAAGATTAGATGTACGACATCACTGAATCTATATCAGATAAGATTAGACTGAGGACATCATTGAATCAAATTAGGTAAGATTAGATGTAGGTCATCCTTAAATCTATATTAGCGAAGATTAAATCTAGGACATCATTGAATCTATATTAGATAAGATTAGATCAAGACATCATTGAATCAATAATAAATAAGATTAGATGTAGGATATCAATGAATCCATATTAGATAAGATTAGATCTAAGACATGATTGAATCAAATTAGATAAGATTAGATCAAGAACATCACTGAATCAAATTAGATAAAATGATATCTAGGATATCATTCAATCTATATTAAATAAGATTTGATCTAGGACATAATTGAATCTATATTAGATAGGATTAGATGTACAGCATAATTGCATCTATATTAGAGGAGATTAGATCTAGTTTGGGAATATAGAAATTTCTGTACCGCGATGGAATCATTTTTGAAAAAAGAAAATATTTTTTAATATTATACTCTACTGTTTGTATGGAACACTATTTTTTTTAAATAAAAATAATTACTACGAACACCGGATTATAAATCTCACTGACATTTCTTGTTATTTTTATATATATATATATATATATATATATATATATATATATATATATATATATATATATATATATTAAAAAAACAGACCACTTTGTTCCATTATAATAATTTATTTCACCAGAGCCCTTAAAGGACGCCGGATCTGGTGAAATAAATTATTATACCTTAAAGTGGGCTGTTTTTCTTTAAAATATTAGCTTTGGATTTATATTGAGCTCTCAGGATTTCATCCTCATTTGGATTACCCATACGGATTACCAAGTTTTTCATAACTTAATATATATATATATATATATATATATATATATATATATATGGGATATGTGCAAAAAGTTTTCGTATGACGCACGCGTTTTTGTCTCTGAGGACTTCATCAGACTTAAACGCAATCGTTGACAATATATTTATATCAACCAAATAAACGAATGAATTGAAAAAAAATCTATTTTTAAATATTTGAAATAAACCTATTTCGATCAAGATCTAAGGGGCTAAACGCGTCGGCCGGAAGCTTTTCCACTTTGTCATACAATTTTCCTCCATATAATATCAATCTATTTATCTTTTTTTAAAAATCAGAATCACCCCCAACTTAGCTAGTAATGCCACTAAAACATAAGGCTTTACAGGGTGTGGAAGAATTTGGAACAGAAACATTAATAATGAGCAGGAAGAGAAGAGAGTAACGAAGTCGGAAGTAGATAGCGATTGATATTGCATTTAAACTTTTTCAGATTAAAGTTGCCTGGAAAGTATGGATCCGGAATGGACTTCCACAAGCGAGAAGTGCGAGAGAAGTAACTGTTACCATAGAATTTACGGTTACATCTAGCCAACTCAACTTGGAAATGTTGAGATCTCAGTCTAGTATTCTGCCTAAATTTTAAAAGGCTCAGTACCATAATGAAGAGCTAATTCGAACAATTACCCCGAAAGTATTTATAGAAAGGCACAGGGAAGCAACTTAGAGCACCCAGATCTTTGGATCTTATCAAGGAGCTCAAGGTAAATAGCAAGGGTACCAGTCCACATGTGGCAGCAATATTCTAAGCATGAACGAATGGTAGACTTATAGATATGTAAGATAGATTCTGGAGAGAAAAATCATCTTGTCCGAAGTAGGGAACCGATTTTCTTAGCAGCTGACCTAGCAATAGATTCAGTATAATCTATCCACTTCATATCACAATTGAAGATGAGCCCAAGATGGCGCAACGAGTCAATTTCCTAAAGGATAGAATCAACCATGCTGATAGAAAGGGGTCTCTCAGGTGATTAAGAGAGAGAAGTTTAGCTTTTGGAGTGTTAAAATTAACAAGC